CTATTTCAAAAAGGATTAATTCAGCCCTCAGGAGAGGTTGATGAAACCCGCCTGCTTCTTTTCCCTGCCCACGCACATCCCCCTTGGGCAGCATCGCTTTGTACATTCCTTCCTGCCAAGCCATGTGACCCATGATTTCCCTCCCGGAGCCTGGAATAGAATTCACCATGCATGCGCTAACCACCAGCCAGTTCCATTAAAGAAAGCACTGGCTCCATTTTCCTTTGCTCCCATTCAGCTCTGCCTTGCTCTAACCAATAGACCCTGGCTTCCCTTCCCCACCCATGGCCTAACCACTAGACCCCATTCCCCTCCCAGAACCACATTCTGAATCTCATTGCCCCAGCCATTTAGACTACTCTCCCACTGCCGAAGAGAATGGCTCGAACTGTGCGGGGCAGGTGGCACATTAGACCACTGTAAGGTGAAGACAAATCCAGCAACCGAACATGGGGCCCAAAGCTCCCTAGCTTTGCATTTCAATACATATCAAATCCTAATGGCCCCTGAGGAGGGAGAACTAGCACATCAGAAGGGAGCACTTTGTGGTTTGTGTTTGGGTCTTTGCCAAGCTCAGAACATTTGCAGGGAGAGGGGGAGCCGGGCTGTGCTTCAGCTCCTGGCCGTGTGGCTCTGTTTTTTGTTTGTTTTTTGTTTGTGTTTTTAAAAGAGCAGCAAAACTTTGCACTTTTCTGAAAAATATAAATGTACAGAAAATAAACTACCCCCTATCCCAACTTGGAGCATATCAGCAAAGGGATGCCCTCCAGGGGCATGGCTGCTAAAAGCCCTAGTGCCTAGCAGTGGAAGAAAAGAAACGGTTTATTTTTGGTCTAATATTGAAGTGCAATAATTAAAATAAAGATTTGCTTAACATTGAGTGAAGTGTCCACATGTTGGTATTGTTGCAATTCCAGGGGCACCCTTCACCAAGACCAGCTTCCCCTTGCACTGGGTGCTGTGCAAACCCCACCTCCTGAAGTCATGAGAATCTATGACAATTTTCATTTTTCAAGGAGGATAGGGCTATAATTCAAAATGATCTGCACCAACTGGAGAAATGGTCTGAGATAAATAAGATAAGTTCGTTAAGGACAAATGGAAAGTGCTCCACTTAGGGCGCAAACAATCAGTTTCTCCCATACAAAATGTGAAATCATTGTTTAGGAAGCAGTCCTGGCAGAAACAGATCTAGGGGTCATAGTGGAGCACAAGTTAAATATGAGTCAACAGCATGACACTATTGCAACAAAAAAAAGCAAACACTTCTGGGAAAGAGAAGTGTTGTGAGCGGGACATGAGAAGTCATTCTTCCGCTCTACTCTGCACTGATTAGGCCTCAGTTGGAGTATTGTGTCCAGTTCTGGGCACCACATTTCAAGAAATCTGTGGAGAAATTGGAGATGATCCAGAGAGGAGCAACAAGAATGATTAAAGGTCTAGAGAACATGACCTGGGGGCAGGGGGGAAGAATTGGGCTTGTGTCGTTTGGAAAGGAGAAGACTGAGGGGAGGTGATAGAGGTTTTCAGGTATTTTAAATGGTGTCACAAGGGATCCGGGGAATTGTTCTCCTTGGCCTCTGAGGACAGAACAAGGAGGAAGGGGCTTAAACTGCAGCAAGGGAGGTTGAGGCTGGACATTAGGAGAAAGTCCTGCCTGTCGGGGTTAAACACTGGCCTACGTAGCGGAGGGGGCTGTGGCATCTCGTCGCTGGGGACATTTAAGGGCAGGTCGGATGCACCTGCCAGGGAGGGTCTGGCCCAGGGCTCCGGGCCGCGGTCGGTCTGGGTGCACACGCAGCCCGCGGGCGGGACCCTTGGAGCATGGGCTCCCCGGCGGGCTGAGCGCCGTCAGGCCAAGCGCCGGGCTGGCTACAGGCGGGTCCAGGGTGTCCAGCCCCCCAGGGGGGAGCACTGGGTCAGTGTGTGAGAGAAGGTATTTGCATATATTTGCATATATATTTGCATGCAGATGCAACCACACTTCAGTGGGGGCCCTGGGCACGTGCTGTCTGTGTCACTGCGGGCCTCGCGTCACGTGCCCAACGGCCGGGTGGGAGGGGGCGGGGT